GATGGGGGCAGCCCAGGCTGCTCCACTTCCTGTCCCGGTGCTGGTGATGCGAGAGTGTTCCGTTTGTGAAAAGCCAGGGAGCCATGTGCTTTGTGCATGACTTCGTCAGGTCTGATCGAATAACTGAATCGATACCCCCTCCCCTGGGAAGTGACCTTTAGGCCACTTCACAACCGACATTCCATTTGCTAAGGCCCTCCCAGAAAAGACCACCTAGAGCCCTTTAAGATCTCCGATTCCTTGTCCCTGGGCGCTGGTGCCATGTGGGGGCTCAGCTCATCGGGGTTTCCAGATGACCTAATACGTTTATAATTCCTCACCACTTTGGCCTCGTGCGTTCCTCCTTCCGCAGCCCTAACGGACCGGTGCACAGCATGTATGTATGTTGTATCTCAAAAAATAAAACAGCAAATCATTTTAGAAAAAGGGTTTGGTAGGAGATACTCCGAACTGTTGACACGGCAGGTGTTCACACTAAGTGGACCACGGCAGCCTCCACGATGCCACACATTTCTGTATTGTTTGAATGTTGCCTTTTATAATTGCTATGAATTATTCTGTCACGAGGAAACACAATCTGTAAGGATTTTGTTTGAGGTCTTCACTGTGAGTCTTTGTTAGAACTTTTTGCCACAATGGCAATGTTTTCTATCTCTGGAGGCCAATATAATAGCCACCGGGCACAAGTTAACGATAACTAATTCATATTTAGATGGAAACAGCCACGTGTAGCTAGTGGCTACAGTATAGGACAGAGCATAAGGGAGTTTATTATAATAGTCTTGTCACTTTTCTGTAGCTTTGAACATTGTTCAAAATAAGTAAATTATAATTTTTTAAAAATTGATTTCAGAGAGGAAGGGAGAGGGAGAGAGATAGAAACATCAATGATGAGAGGGAATCATTGATTGGCTGCCTCCTGCATGCCCCCTACTGGGGTAGGGGCCTGCAACCCAGGCACATGCCCTAGACTGGAATTGAACCTAGGACCCTTCAGTCCGCAGGCCGACGCTCTATCCACTGAGCCAACCAGCTAGGGCTAAAAAGTATCTATTTTAAAACTTAAAGAGGCACACACCGAGACAAGGATCTGACACAGATATTGGCATTATCATAAAGTAGCTTTATTAAATTTCTTTACCGTCTAAAAAATGATTACAAAAAAGAATACTTCATTTAAGCGTAATACTGTCTTTATGGACGTACCGTGGTTGGAAAGTTTAAGGTCATGAGTACATGTGAGAAGAGAATGGGGACAAAGGCAGGACCCCCTGTACCCTCCGTGCCAAGCCAATGGGCACCAGGGGAGAGGGGAACAGGGGCAAATACGGTGTCAGTGAGCTGCTTGTAGGAGCTTAAAATAAACGCACCGCTGGCTCCGGGCCAGGACACACAGGCACACAACACGGCACCGCTGCTCAGAGCTGCAGCCTTCCATCAAATACCCTGGGCATCCTCGAGCAGCTTTGGTTTTTTCTCTCCAACTTACACACACTCTCTCTCTCTCCCTCTCTCTCTCCCCCTCTCTCTGGGGTGCCTCCCTCCTTTGGCCATGCAAGCAAGCTCTTTTGTCTCAGGTACAAAATAAAAAAGATTTTGATCCCTTCAAAATCAAAGCAAGCCAGACTCCATCAAGCCAAGAGACCCACTTCTGTAGGAGAGAAGCCAGCGTTCCGCTTTATTGAATGGCCACGTGGGCACTCAGGGCCCGCTCCATCCTCCGTGGCCTGGCTCCGACCCTGGCAGTGGGGCCGCCAACTGGCCGGAAGGCAGGACACCTATTAGCCAGGGGTCTTGCTCCCCGGCCACAGGGGCACTTTCGGAGGCTCGGGCCTATCCCTTTTCTTTTTTTGGTTCACAGAAGGAAGGAAAAGGAAAGAAAACGCTGTTGAGATCCTGGGAACAAAACAGGCCATTAAGGAAACTGTGAGAGTCTGGCGAGCCCCACGTCCAGCAGGCTCTGCTCCAGGCGGCTCCGGAAAGCCTGTAGGTTAAAAAAAAACACAAAACCCCAGCTGGCCCTTGTTTGGCTTTCGGCAAGGCCCTGCCTCTTTAAGTTTGCGCTGGGAGCCCTCTGGGGGCAGCCAATTTTTAATTGTGCACACATGGGGTTCCTGGAGCCGGCCCCAGGCGCTGCCAACACACACATGGCCTGTTTTCTTTCCTTTGAAGAGAGAAATTCTGGAGGCTGAGGAGGATCTGGACGGCCATAACCTGGGTTCGAAGCCCAGGGACTCAGCAGCCGCTCTGGGAACAGGACTCATTTCCTGTGTCTCCAGGTCTGACGGATTTTCTAGGAAAATTAATATTTGCTGGGGCTCCACGTGGGGAGGGGCCGGAGGTCGGGGTAATTTCTTGACATGAACTGCTCAGGGCTGCTGTGTCCTGGGGCTCCCCTCGACCTGAACGGGGTGGATGCTGGCAGAAAGCAGAAGAAAGCTAAACTTCCTACTCCAGGTGGCAGGGACAGAATCCGTTTTGTGAAGAGACCAAAATTCCCCCAAGAAAGCTGTCTCGGGGGGAGTGGACAAAACACTATTACATACCAGACAATTAAATGTGGGGGGCCAGGGGGAGTCAAGCCACTCCAGACGCCACCCGTGAGTAATAACACTCAAGATTAAAATGAAAATATGCATTTCCAGTGACTTTCAGATTTGGCAACAAGTAATACGATTCCCCCCTTCCCCGATGGTGATTCCAAAATACAATACGTTTCCCCCTCACCCGCCTCCATCCATCACTGCCAGGCGATTGTTCTGTGTTCGCCACAAACCCACGCCAGCATCAGCCACTGGCGCCGATTCCTACGAGAATGTAGCTCCGGTCTGCACTGTGGCTGCTTTGAACTGGGAACGGGAAAAACCCAGTTAAGCTGGAGTCTTGTCACTGCTGGGAAGCAGGAGAAACCCACTTGCCTTTGAGACGGAGGCCTTGGTGGGTATGATGGGGTTGGCCAGGGAGGAGACCGGGACGAGGAACAAGGGAGGAGGGACAGTTCGCTCTGGGGCTGATGGGCCTCAGCGGGAGGCGCCTCTGGTCCCCCTCGTGGCTACTCCTCCGCGGAGGACGATGCAGGACTTTCGTCATCCGACATCGGGGCAAACTGGAACGAGAAGCGCAATTCCTTGTTTGGCATCCTTGCCTCCGGGCGCCGGCTCTGCTGGCTGGCCCAGCGGCTGCGGTGAGTGAACAAGAGGCTGGGATCCCTTGGCCTCGAGGAGGCCATGTGACGGGGGAGATGCCTCCGAGAAGCAAATAAATAAACGCAGTGGAGGAGTCTCACCAGGGATGAGGGATGGAAGGGAATGGCAGCTACAGCCGGTGGTCGGGGAGGGGCCGGCCAAGGGGGCAGAGAGGCATTGCAGGCAGAAGAGAGACCCAGGCCCTGAGGCGGAGCAGGGGTCAGGCTGGTGTGGCTGGAGCTGAGGGAACGAAGAGGAAGGGGAGGGG